CCGTGCCTCTCCCTTTCTCCGTGCCTCTCCCTTTCTCCGTGCCTCTCTGTCTGTCTGTCTCCGTCTCCCCCGCGTGTGCTCTCATCAATGGAGTGAATTTGTATTGGCACATACAGTCGACTTTGACTGTCTATAAACTGCATGCTTATTGAACAATGTGGTGTTTATAAATTCCTAATTTAGAAATAAAACCTGTCTGACTCCAATCCAAAACACAAACAGATTCTAAACATGGCATAATACCTAACAGACATTGACCTAAAATGTCACCTCTTCTTTACACTGATTAAACCTTTAATTGTTTCAGGACAGTGACTCCAAAGGAATTCAGGGATTTACATATACATATTAATCAATTAAAACCTTCTAACTAATTAAAGATTTAACAGCACCTTACGTTTGTTTATTACATCCTCATCAGTGGTGTGACCCTTTTATCTTTCACTTATAAATTCTGTGTCTGATACTACGTCTCTAACTTGCACCTAAAGAAGGAGCGAGGCACAGAAGCTTCTGTTTTCACATAAACCTATTGGACTATAACCTGGTTTTGGCTGATTTCTGACCTTGTCCACCCCAGTCCAACACCAGCACCTCCAAGCGTGTTTCTGGAGCCATTTAATTTTGAAATCCATATGAGAGGAGTTCCTGGAGTGATGACAGGGATTTATTTGCACTGGGAAAGTTTTACGAGTGGACAAAGTAAAACATGGAGTAGCACTAGACTTTTCCCAGTTTAGAAGGATTGAGATTTTCTTTGCTTAGGGGAAGAACCCATAGCTTGGAAAGCTTTTGTTTTTCAGTTTGCAGATTATCAGGTGGAAATTAAATGTATAAAACGTTTTGCGCAAAGAAAGCGGATAATTTAGAACTGTTAGAAATGTTACCACAATGTAATGGTTGTAGTGTGAAAATTATGAACCAAAAATCATAAACAGGCCCTTTGGCCCAATAAGTCGACACTAACCCACAGAGCATCCCACCCAGACCCATCCCCCTATAACCCACCTAATCTACACATCCCTGAACACTGCGGGCAATTTAGCGTGGCCAATCCACCTAGCCTGCACATCTTTGGACTGTGGGAGGAAACCCACGCAAACACTAGGAGGATGTGCAAACTCCACACGGAAAGTTGCCCGAGGGTGGATTTGAGCCCGGGTTCCTGGCACTGGGAGGCAGTAGTGCTAACCACTGAGCCACTGTACCACCCAAAAATGTTTCGTTAAACACGGAAAGAGTTGTTTGAAGCTGAGAAAATCTATACTCGGTTGAATGACAAATCAAGGGGTAGGCTACGAATCTCTCAAGACCAGAAATTAAACGAAACATCAAACCTGTAGAGATGATAGAGAAGCAAATTAATTTTCTCTGGTGTCTGCTTACAGTAATGTGATGGTGTTGGGATACATAGGACTGTGTATTTTTATTTGAAATCTTTCAAGTTGTGCCATGTAAATAGCTTTAGTTATTCTATTTATCCCCTTTTGCAAAATAAACCTCTCTCTTTTGCTGTACTACCTAATCTGCTACCACCCAACCTAGTATGCTGATCTTTCTGTGAAAGAGTACCTCATTAAACAACAAGTGAAATATGAACTATCAAGCCCGATTTCAGTCTGGATCGGACCTGTCGAGTGATATTATTCTTGGGATCCCAACAGGAGACAAAATGATTTGTCAGGATTAGAGCAGAAAAGTACAGAGAGGCATGGACAGACCAAATATGTTTGCAAAGCTGTAGCAAGTGGAGTTCCGTGTAGTCCACTTCTGGGTGGCGAATCTCAGGAATAATGTATAGATAGAGGGCATTAATTAGGATTTTGCCGATATGCAGAAGTTTAAAATGTGACAACAGGCTGCATAAACTTGCGTTGCATTCCATTCAAATTCATTTAGAAGATTGAGCTGTTTATTGTAAAGGTCTTTGATGGAGTAGAGGCAGGGAAACTATATTTCTCTGAACAATGGAGAATAATCTTTTTAAAATTGTAACCAGGGTCATTAATGAGTGGAATCAGGAATAATGCATTTGCAAAGATGTTGGTTGAAATCTGGACCTATGCCAGAATAAAAAATGACAATTAAAATCTTCAATTGAGATTTTGTTTTTTATGGGAGTTTCAAGGGATATGGAACAAAAGTAGGGTAAATAATGCTGTTGGAGATCAGCAATGATTTAGTTGAATATTGGAATGAGCTCAAAGACTGATTCTTGTCCCTGCCTCTGTGAACAAATACTTCAGCATATTATATGTATTTATGCACTATTGAATGTACCAACACTCCTAGCACCAATAAAATACAATTTTGGGGGGTGCCAATTGGCCTCAAATATGAAATTGCTTCTGAACACTTGAAGGTGACCTAACTATTTAGTTTTGATTTTTTTCTCTCATCAGTGCATTCCCAAATCTATAGAGATGTTTAGTGTTAAATAACTAAATAATGCTGGTTAAAATAAACTGGCAATTGCTTATCATAGATATCTAATTCAGTGTTTTTTAATCAGAATATCATGTATAATTTCCCAGAGTTACTCATGCAGTCTGAGAATATAGAATGAGAGGTCCCCATTCAGGCTCAGTTATTTAGTGCAGCCTCTTGAGTTCATTCGGATAATTGGGTTATGTGTTGGAGAAAACTATTTCCTTTCTTGCACATCTTGCTTGTGACAATCAGTCTTCGTGGTCTTGATGGCTGTGCAAAATTGAACCATGGATGCTGATTTAGATCCAAAAACTAACTTTGAAGCTGGGCAGTTAATCTTGACATACAATAGGCTGGAAAAGAAATGTATCAGTATAGTGGCAGCAAAAGTGTTCATTTTCTTCACCATTTTTGCATGCATTAAAGGAAAAAATTAGTGAACTGATTTTTATTTGCTTTTTAGAGAAAATCGTTGATCGCTTTGGAGAAAGAAGATGAGGAAGAAAGGAATAAAACTATTGAGAGTTTAAAGACTGCACTGAGAACACAACCAATGAGGCATCTATCTTTGATCTATGCTTATGATTTTACATTGAAAGACTGAGTGTGTGTTTCTATTAAAGGTGACCATCAGTGTCATTTGTATGTGCCAGGAATTTCATTCAATAGTATGGGCGATGGATGTGTGGATGATGTCGTAATGATACAAAATGATCTGAGATTCTATTTTAATCGTCACTATCAAATGGGGAAACTTGGGGATCCAAATGTCAAATGAATTAAACTCGAATGTAGATCAAACTTCATAGTCGCAAAGGAACCTGTCTTAAGCTACACCCGGTGTCGATTCTTGCTCAACCCTAATTCAGTTATTAACGAGAAACATTGCTAGCTGAGAAAGAGTAAAGCTTCAGCTAAACATTCCAGTACCAGGATGGTAGAAGGAAAACTGGGATGTTGAAAATGTCAACTAATCCTAGCTATTTGGTTCTAAAATATATTTTTCTGAATAATCTCATTTAGATTTGAATGATGCAATGCTACCTGCTAGTAGTTGACAAAGATCAGCAAGAGTATGGGGAGCCCTCATTTTAAGTCTCCACTTTTTAAAGTTGTTTTTTTGCTTTTTAATGCTCCCTCTCCTCACTTAAAGTACTATTCCTCATTTTAACATGGAAGGCTTGCCACTACCAGCACTCAAAGGCAACTAAGGATGGACATTAAATGGTGGCCTAGCCAACAGTGGCCACATCCCATGGGGAAAACAAAATTATTGTGGTTTGAAATCTTCTTGATCTAAATATTTAAAATTGTTAGGATGCTGCAGAGTTTCTTGACTGTGAATAGATGGGCAGTGCCATCTTTAGTACAGGCTGCTGCCATATGATGTCTCTGTGGTCATGTTACCCTACACCACCCTAATATTGTGCATGTGGTGCTCCACCTATTGGTATCATTGGCCTTAAATGTAATCACCCAATAAAGCATTCAATTTCAGTTTGGCATAACTGTAGTTAATTTCTATAACTACCTTTCTATAATTGATAAATGTTCTTTTTAAGGCTCTTAATCTTCTCTCTTTTTTGTTTTGGCAAATAAGCTTCCTGAAGATTGTTAGGTAGTTGACTAAGATCAGCAAGAATGTGTCATGAATATAGGGAGTTCTCATTTTAAGTCTCCATTTTAAAAGTATTTTACCTTTTTATACCCCCTCTCCTCACTTAGTGTTATTCCTCATTTAAAGATCCCTTACTTCCTAATTGTGCTGCTCACCATTTGCGCCTCTCACATCCTTGCACTTCTTGTGCCATTGCATTATCAGTGAAGTCCCCTGATTCTACTGTTAGCTATGGCGCCATAGTGTCTGCATCCTGCAATCAAAGGCTGTCGCTTTTTAAACATTATTCTGCTCAGGTACTGAAGTAAATTAGATTTTTAATCTTTGTTTTTAAATTTCTGTGCTGTTTTGTACCTGTACTGGCGGAAGACCTGTTGATTTTGTTTTCTTAAAAAGTAACTGTTCTGTTCTGTACCCCATTGTACTTTAGATATGCAAGTACAATAGTTGAGGAGCTTCTACTTTACCTGGATTGTAAATTTATTTAACAACCTTTCTGCAAGCCTGTTTTCTTTAGTTAGACCTTGCTTGTTTTACAATCTGTTTCAGCTAGGAATGCACAATCGTGCATATGGATGGCGCAGTATTTAAATATTTACTTTTTTAAAAACCGTTCATCTAGAAGGACTATAGTCTATCGTGTGTATTAAATTGCATAATGATCAACTGAACTATTTTATTTGCTTGTTTTGAGTCTGATATTCTTCCATTTGGCAGGTTTGTTACCAGATTCATTGACTTGGATGGTTTAACATGCATTCTGAACTTTCTGAAAAGTATGGACTACGAAACATCAGAATCTCGAATACATACCTCTCTAATAGGCTGTATTAAAGCACTAATGAACAACTCTCAGGGCAGGGCCCATGTTTTGGCTCATGTAGAGAGTATTAATGTAATAGCTCAAAGTCTTACAACAGAAAATATAAAGACTAAAGTAGCAGTCCTGGAAATTTTGGGTGCTGTGTGTTTGGTGCCAGGTGGTCACAAGAAGGTATTGGAGGCAATGCTGCACTACCAGAAATATGCCAGTGAAAGAACGCGTTTTCAGGTACAGTTTCCCACTGGTTGGGACCTGCAATTTTATCAAATGGAATTAAATATATGAAATTCGTATAGAGATCTGAGCAGCCACCTCACTAAAACAAGACCAAATAACATGATATATAAGACTCTTTCTTGACTTTCTGAAAGGAGCTTCTGCCTAATTTCTTTTCAGTTTAGTTTATCCATGTTGCCTGCCAATTGTAGCAGTGATATGTTATCCTGGTAGAATACAGAAAGTGAAAAATGTGTCCGCCATATAATAGCTTCTGACTTTTTTTATCCCACGATCCCTAAACTTTGTAACTGTCAGTACTTATTCACCTCCCTCATAATTTTAAAAAATGCAAATTACATCTTTCTCCTTCAGAGAGCAAGTTGATGTAGCCTGATTTGATAGTTCTTTAATTTGACGTTGTGAAGTTTCACTTTTTATATTGTGCCGTGGGCTAATGTCCTGAACGCACCAAGCAAGTAAAAATTGACTCAATGCTTCCAGAAAGATCAGGCTAATGTTTGTCTTTTCTTTTAATTGTGATGTTTGAAAATTTGCCTTTTTAAATTAAAGTTTAAAATGTAAATGCTGAATAGTAACTTTGACAATTGGACAGATCTTTAACAATTAAAGTTACTAAATGGAAATACTTTATCTATTGCACAACAACTTTTGTTGCAATCCTGAGAGATGTGTTGTTACAGTACAGTACAGTTTCTACACGATCTGGAGGGCCAGATGTATCATCTTACATAAAGACTGGCACTTGGACTTCAGGCAGTGAGCAAGCATTTAGAAACCAGGTCTAGGATCTTTTATCAGAGATAGCAAGAACTGCAGATGCTGGAGTCCGAGATAACACAGTGTGGAGCTGGAGGAGCACAGTAGGCCAGGCAGCAGAGGAGCAGGAAAGTTGACATTTCAGGTCGGAACCCGACTTCAGAAATGGGGAGGGGGAAGGGAGCTGGGAAGTAAATAGTGGAGGGGTAGGGGTGGGGAATGTAGGTGGGATGGTGATATGTGAGTACACGTAGAGAGTGGTGAGGATTCGTCAGTGAGGTGGGATGAGCGGATAGGTGGGAGAGAAGATGGACAGGTTGTGTCAGGTCAAGGAGGTGGGGATGACCTGACACAACCTCTCCATCTTCTCTCCCACCTATCCGCTCCCCCCACCTTCCTGACGAATCCCCACCACTCCCTACCTTTACTTACCTATACAAAAACAAAAAGTTGCTGGAAAAGCTCAGCAGGTCTGGCAGCATCTATGAAGGAAAAAACAGAGTTAATGTTTCGGGTCCGGTGACCTCTCCTCACCTACCTGTCTTCACTTATCACTATTCCAACTATCTTCCCAGCCCCAGCCCTCCTCTCTCTCTTTATTTCTTCTCCCTCCCCCATTTCTGAAGAAGGGTCCCGACCCGAAACGTCAACTTTCCTGCTCCTCTGCTGCCTGGCCTGCTGTGTTCCTCAGCTCCACAGTGTTATCTCTAGCATCTTTTATTTTTGATTCCTTGATTGCTAATTCAAAGCTGGCAGTTCACTAGCCAAATGAGGCAGGATCTGCAACAAATCAAGAACAGTGTATGTCAAGAGAAAAGACCCACATTATGGATGGTTAAACACAGTGTCACCTTGTCTTTTTTTCATTCCTTTGTCTTGATGTGTGATTAGAGACAGATGTGTAGTACTCCCACTCTTGTGTTATACTAGGTGTCATTAGTAGACCGTCTCGATGCCAGAAGCATCAAATTTGACTTTTTATGAATTCCTAAGCAGAGGCAGCTAGAAGTGTGTATATCTTTCCTGTTGCTACTCCAAAGTCCCAATCAGAACTGACCACATTGTCAATATACTAATATTGATCATTATTAGGCTTCTAACTTCCGCTCCACTCTTCCAATGCCATAGTATCAATATATGAAGCATTTCCTTGCTGTTCAGTGAAATATGAAAATTATCCTGAAGAGGTTTATAAAAAGGGCCATTTGTCATTGTTATATTTTTCCTTTTGTTAGTAAAGCTGCTACGTAATATTTTAGTGACCTGCACAATGTGTAGTACAACAAAAAGTAATAAAATCATTGGGAAAATATTTTAAAAGGTTATGAAAAATGTTTTTGAAAAATTAAAATTTTGCTTAAACTGTAATCCTTCAGGAATAATAGAATTTGATTTTCAATCTGAGATTACAAAGAAAAAATGAACACATTAGGTACCTCTGTTAGAAACTAAAAGTACTTACTTTTCTTTGCAGTATTTTTATGCGTGCCCATATTGTTTTCTTATCAAACTGTATGGTCCCTTGTTTCTCCTTCAGACTTTAGTCAATGACTTGGACAGAAATACAGGAAGGTACAAGGATGAAGTGAATCTCAAAACTGCTGTTATGTCTTTCATTAATGCTGTTCTAAGTCAAGGGTCAGGAGAGGTGAGAACTTATAATTATTCAGAAGAGCTAAAATTTGTCAATGCCAGTATTGCAGCCTGTTTTATAGCCTGCCTATGGTGCATCTTTTTTTTTGAGCATGGTGTAAAATTGTTTGCTATCAGCTCGTTTGTCAATACTGCTGTTGGCCATGTCTGGTTCCCAATTATTTACAATTTAGATCTTTTATTTTCCCCATGGGTATAGGTTTAAAAAAAATTTCCTATAACACTGTTTGTTTTGTTTCAATAGGAAAGTCTCGATTTCAGAGTTCATCTCCGATATGAATTTTTAATGTTGGGTATTCAACCTGTTATTGACAAATTACGTGAACATGAAAATGCAACTTTAGATAGGTAAGTGTACTTTATTTGCAGAAAATAAAATTTAAAATACTGATGCTGTTTTTATACTAATTCTGTTCATTTGTTAGGCATTTGGATTTCTTTGAGATGCTTAGAAACGAGGATGAAATTGAACTAGCAAAAAGATTTGAGATGGTGAGTAAATGGGTTACTGTTTACGTTTTATGCCATTGCCAAATAATATTAATACAAAAGTTTGGTCTGTTAACTCATGGTTGGTGAATGTACTATTTCAGGTCCATATTGACACAAAGAGTGCCACCCAAGTATTTGAACTGGTTAAGAAAAAAATCAGTTATACAGATGCATACCCGCACTTTATGTCAATTCTCCATCATTGTCTCCAAATGCCATGTGAGTACTGTGGATCATTTCATTTAAGGGAAAACAATGCATTCAATTTTCAGTCTAAGAGTGTGTAAAGTGAAAGGAAATCAAGGTGTAGAGCTGGACGAACACAGC